TGAAAAAAATCGAACTTATCCTCAGATGGAAATTCAAGAAAAAACTAAAGAAAATACCATGCAATCGAATTTTAGCTGGCATAATGCATTGAGTAAACATCCAACAAAGTCTTTCTATACTTTTTGAAGTGCCTAATAGATATTCTGGGCATTTTAAATAGATTTAAGAAACCCCCGTTTTGAAGGGGGGAGGGGAGGGTTAGGGTTAGAGATACTTGGGATACCGGTTGTATCGAGATTTTCAACTCTCAGATATTATTTTTCAGGATTCTTTTTTTTACTAGGACCTATCTTCATGCCTTATTTTGATTTTTTAAAAAGGATCATCTAGCTTATCGGCCAAGCCTATCTTCTGAGATGTACACATGCTCTTAAAGAAGCACATCCTTTACTTTTGACAGACAAAAAGTACACAAACAACACCAGGCCTGTGTTTTTAGGTAGTAACGGAAACAAGTTCGATTCCTCTGCAGTAGGGCGAAGACCTGCGTCGAGTTTGTGAGGAAGTTTGAATCCAAAGAAGATTTAACCTCACACGTGTTTGAAAAATTAAGACATCCTCGACGTTAGTGGCAGGAGAAGATCCCAAGACACAAGAAGTGCATGCACAGCTATTGGGACATAATCTGTCAACTGAGATACTCTTTTACCATTGACTGCACAAAGAAAATATATATTTGATTTATTCCTAAATTTCCATCTCAGAATAAGTTTATTTTAACATCAACCCAACATTAGTCACTTCTCATGCTTTGTCTCGACTATTTGTTCACTTTTAAGCTGCATAGCAAGGTAGATGCAAGTGTAGAGAACCATTTAAGGCTAGGAATCATATCTGCTCTTGGGCATGTAAACACCCAAAACTGCTATGTTAAACGCAAAAYAAAGGAGCAACTGAGTCACACAACAACGAGGAAAAGTCCATCAAAGTAAAACCTAAGGAGCAGCCTGTGTCACTAGCTGCAAAGTGGAACAGATACCTATAACATTTGTCCTAGACTCACCTATATCAGTGCGAAAAACAAGTCAATAAATAATGGCCTAAAACAATCAGCTAGAGAGCAGACGAAGAAATCAGAAAAGYTTTTAGTGGAAGAAATAAGAAGCAGATTAGCATATTATTAAAAAAGCCAGCCAGAATTACCACGAAGTACTATTGATCTACAGAGCCTGCTTCATATCAGAACTGGTTTCAAAATCAGGAATTGAAACAAGGTCTCATCAGTTTCAGAACAACGTTTATAGATGAAATGGAGTGCATAAGACAGTGGTGTTATAAGAAACGCATCTGGAGAGGACGTGGAACTCAGTAGAGTACAGCCAAGAAAGTCTAGAATCCTTAGCAGGTTTTGAAAACCAATTTGGATACTGAAGAGTTAAAAGAAATCTACACCAGGGAAGATGACAGTGCATGACGAAGGAATCTGGCGTGATTCGTGACTTTTGAATCACGCCAGATTACTTTGAGTCACGCCAGATCCCTTTTTTCACAACTTAAGCCTCACATCGGTGCGAGTTTTRAATTTGGTCTATAGAAACAAACATTGGAACTATCCAGAATTAATGAATCATTTGTATATTCATATTGTATAAGTATGATGTAAATAGGTCGAAATTAATAGCATTTCTCTCTTAGTTGTTCTTTTAGTAGTCCTAATATTAGAATGGCTTCAACATATTCATGTTTAATGTATGCGATTCAAGTAGCCAATTGCAAATTACCTATTATTAGTGAGATTTGCAATTGTATATATAAGACGAAAATCAAATTAGGTTTCCATTATTACTATATTATTATTATTATTTTGTTCATTTCAACTTTATCTCGTTTTACAAGCATTGCTCTTAGTGAAATTGCGGATACATTATATATCTAAGCAATTCCCTAGTTATATCAAGTCAATGTCAGATCAGATGTATGTTCATTTAAAGCTATGCAAAGCTTTCACTATATCACAGTTTTGAGAGATTATCCACTTTTGACATTTTCCGACTACATTCAAACTATCCGTCAGCCCTACACTATTCACAATAATTATCATTATCATTATTATTATTATTATCATCATCATTATCATCTTTATCATCATTATCGTCATTATCATCATTATCATCTTTATCATCATCATCATCATTAATATCATTATTATTATTATTGTTGTTATTATGACGCAATTTATCGTCAATAAGAGAAAAGACATAAAAACTGATGTCTATTAGTTAACATAATGTCTTATTCCAATTATGATAGATATCCGGAGGAGACTTGAATCAAGCTCCCAAAGAGCAACCCTTCAAACAGTTCCACAGTCAATCAGATGTTGGCATCGATAATCGGTCTAGTCAACGGACAAACAGCGGAGTGAATATGGAGTCTCCGAGAGTCGAGAGAGAAATTTCGCAGCTGGATAGGGACATCTTAATTGACAGGGTTTATCTCTTAATATCTTTGGTAATTGAAGGTTTGTTTTTGTTAAGGTCTTTGGTATGTGTTACTAAGAACCTCAAAAGCTTTTTCTTTGTAAATGCAGCTTGCACGGTCACCTCCTCTTCGCAGTTGCGAAAAGCTCTATATGTGTTTTTAAGAGCCTGGAAAAATGCAAGAGGAAATATCTGGGATCAAGCTAAAGCTCTTATCAAGTTTTTCATAGACTGCGGTGTGAAAGATTTGTTGCTTATTCTTAAAAGCATATTCCACAATAATGGCTGGTTTGACTGGTTCAAGATGTCTTGCCAATTAGCCGCTTTTATTACTGCTATTGCAGCAACCGGCAGCCCTGCCTTGTTTGCACAACTAGCCTTGTTTCTTTCAGATGCAAACGATTTTTTGCAAAAAATTAGATATCGGAACAAGCTTTTGAAGAAGATATCATAATTTCTTTAGCGGTGGGAAATGCTTTTCTCTCATGGTAACACAAATATTTTCAAACTGGAAAAATAGGTAGTCAAAGACTGCATTTATATACGGGCCGAAATTCAAGGGGTGCATGAACAAACACTAAGCACAGAGGCAATGAAAACTGGATAAGGTTTTTAGATCAGGTTGTTGCGTTAGATTAGAATAGGAGAAAGGGTAATGTGTTATATAGTAAAATAAATCAAGGTAGGTAGTAGTTAATGATTGCATGAAAGGTCATTAGTCTTTAGTCTTTATGCGTACACACGAAAGAAGCTTTATAAAAGTAAGTAATTATTTAGAAACGAGACCTTGAGACAATCCGCCATTGCTCGAGTATGTGCTTCTATAGCGCATACTACGCATGCGCATAGAATTTACGCACGCGCTGTGAACGCGACGGCTATTTGTGCAAAAAAAAAAAAAAAAAAAAAAAAAAAACGAAGCCCAATTTATACTTCGGGCATTCCTTCGGAAGCCCGAGTAATGATGAACTCAAGGCTGTAGTGGATGAGTGTTTTTGGTGTGGAGGTTTATGTAAAGAATACTGATATGTTGGGGAAAAAATTTCAATATTGTATTAAAGTTTACTAAATGTAACATGTAGAAATGTTATGAAAAGTAAAAAAGCTCTAGATTTGTAGTGGTAAATAGTGATGACAGATGTTGAGATTATCATTTACTGTTGAGAATAGTTAACTTTTATATACATTTATTCGTTTTGTTTGTTTCTTACGATTTCCTTGACCCCATGATTTACCAGAAATTAATGATTAAACATAGCAATGAAACTTGATCTAGCCTTATGCAATAAAAGACACTCGCTTAATTCTTAATGAAACGACATGCACGTGCTTACGAGCCAACGATAATTTTGCCATGAAGACTAACTTAGATGCGTGATTCGCCACCAGATGTAAGTACAATAAATTCTAAACATATATACTGTTGAAGTGTAAATATTTCCCCAAAAATGTAGGCTAATTTAGGAATTATTGTTACATTTTAGCGAACCTTGTACTAGCTTGAACCAGTTTGAACTTGATCCACGAATTAAACTTGAAACAGATACGAGTGAACATTTGTCAACTAGCTCTAACAAGCGTATCGTATGGTGGTAAAATAGACATTCCCCCGATATCTCTAACATTTACATATTTTATTTGTAGCAAGATTACAGTCGGCTCTCCCGTAAGCGACCACCCTCGGGGCCAGGAGAAAGTGTTCACTTACGGGAGATGGTCGCTTACGAGAGAGTTAACACAGGAAGCCCAAACAATGGGAATCCCAACACAGGAAGCCTAAACCATTTATAATTTGTAACTCACGCGTTAAAACTACTGTATTAACGATTAAACTGTTTTAATCAAAACTTTGAATATGCTATATGTTTACAGTAGTGTAATTGTCAATATAAATCTTTCGTATAGCGTCTTTCTGATGATCATTAAACTGAGTGATGCGAAATTTCTTTCTCGAAGCCTTCCTCTAATGATGCATCTCGTTTTCCATATGGCGCGAATGGTTCCTGGTTTTCGAGAACTAAGCCGTGATTGGTTAATTCATAGGAAAGGAATGTTGTGCTCGGGTAAGCAGCCGCTACTCAGAGAAAGCGTTGCGTGACGACACTAAAAGCGGCTGTGGGGGAGACTAGTTACGACCTTTACTGAGTAAACTTGCAAAATTGTCTACACGAGTCTGTAGCGCATACCTCATCCTCTTTCTACCCCACTTATATACAGTGCATGTCTATAGAGCAGCAAGTACCATCATCAGCAATTCCTGCTGAACGGCAATTGTCTGCGTCCACTCCAGTATTTCCATAGCGTTTTTGTCCGTCCATTGGAAAATATTTAAATCTTAAAGTTTCAACATTACTTGGGAGACTGGCTTTTACATCGTTTTCAAAAATAATGCTTTACTTTGTTTCAATTCATCTCAGCTATAATTCAGTTTATTTTTGTTTAACCGACCAAATACACGTTTGTTTTTTACTTTTTTTATGAAGTATGACGTCATAAATTACGTAAGGTGATGACGTCACCACATCACAAAACTATCCATTTCACAAATTGTTTCTATCAAGGGCATTAGGACACCGAATGTGGTTGGATTTCTTTAGGTTTTTTTTTTCCTTTCGATTATTTGAATTAAATTAACTTTATACTTGTTTGACTTATCTTGTGTCCGTGTTCCTTCGTTCGCTGTCAGAATGCAGACGTTTTCATTCCAAAGGTCAAACGGTTTGAATAGCCTATGAGCGTTACTTCTTTAACGGCCGTTCCGTACTTGACTCTGTTTGTACTATACCAACAACAACGCGACCGCGCGATGTTCCTTACGTCAGTAATATTCAACCGTCCTTAGAATACTGTTTGCGAAATGAAATGTAACTTTTCTACCTCAACGATCAGACAGTTACAGTTCAAAAATATTAATATCGGCCAGTAGGTCATTTTATACGGTGGCCCACAAGTCTCACGGCAAAACAAAAACTCACGGCAAAACAAACTAAACTCACGGCAAAACAAACTAAACTCACGGCAAAAGGCAATAAATTCACGGCAAAATAAACTTAACTCTTCTCCCCAAGCCCCCCCAAAACCCACAAGGAACGCCTGGCTACGCAGGCTATATGTCAAGGGTCACGTGAATTGACATTAGGCTAATTGACAGTAAGCTAATTTATTCGCAATGCGATTACCATCGACTCAGCCGAGCGAAAATCTTTAAACGTTTTACGTTTTTACCCACTAAGGTAAGTATCCCTTGTTGGAAATATTTATGACTATATAGTGATACAAATGTCAGTTTATAAAGTGAGGTCAGTAGCATCGTCAAACTGATTATAACCGAAACCATAGTTATATTACTATGCTGAGACTATAAAGTGCACGCCATATGTCTGATCTTTAAGAACAATTACCAGCCATTTACGACGCTTAAAAGTAGTTGTTATCAACTATCTAGTTATAAAAAAGGCTAAGAATTCAATCGGGCATGTATCAAACGAAGACGCGTAGAGATATATGTTGTTGTTCTCGAAGTTCTCCAGTAATATCCACTATTTTGTACGAGATATCAGCAAAATAAGCTGCAATAAGACAAATCAGGTTTTATTTAATTATGGCGTGCATTCTAGGCTAGCTAGTTCTTTGATTTATCATTTATTTACCATGAATTCGTGAAAAATACGCAATACATTACTTGACTTGAGAAAGTATTGATACTCAAAGTGGTCTTGTCCTTAGTAGAAAGTACAAGTTACCTCACTGGAGAATGCACTGTGGCAAATCTGTCTGGCTAAAACGATTTATACAATGTCACACAATCATTGATAACGCCATATATTTATTTATATATCAATATTGATCGGTATGGCATGATACCCAAGTCGATTTTTTCATTTCAAAACATTTATGTTGTTAGAAATCTAAATCTCAAGTGAACAAAATGGACAGGAAAGTTCAAGTTGAAGAATTTTTTTGCGATAATGAGGGTAGGTTCTTGTTGTGTAGAAGCTAATTCTTCTTGTCATTGCCCTCATGTCCTTGTCCTTGTCTACGTCTTTTTCATATTCATTCCTTTCTTTGCTTCCTTTATCCTTCCTTTTTTTTCTTAAGTTGACTCTCTTGTATTTATTTTAGTTTAAACTTACGATATTTACCACCCATTCGCTAGAATCGAGCGGCGAAAAGGCAAACCTCGATCAGGAAAATGCAGCAATCGAACACGAGTTTTCGAGTCCCTGGGACGACAATGACCTCATTCTTGTTGTCGAGGACCAGAAACTCCACGTTCATCGCTCCATCCTCAAGATGACGTCACCAGTGTTCAAAGCCATGCTTTCATCCAACTTCAAAGGAAAAGATGCCAATGAAATAACCTTGCCAGGGAAGAAAGTTAACGAGTTTGTTGACTTCTTGCGACAGATTTATCCCCTGCTTGATGGCGAAATAACACGTAAGTCTCTTGTTTTACCATAATAACGTTAAGTTAGAATTGCGCCGTTTTCTGATTGGCTCCCAACTATCAAAGATGAGTGAAACCTTCAAACAACTTAACTTTAGGCAAAGATTTTTTGTTCTTGGGAGATTTGACAGCGAATTTTATTTTTCTTTCGTTGAAAGTGAAGAACATCAAGTACATCTACAGACTTGCAGATGAATACCAGATGGCAAAAGTGATGAAGGACTGCAGAATGTTCTTGTTTTCAGTAACAAAGACAAAAGAGAATACCATAGAAATGTTGATGTTAGCACAAGACATAAAGGCAGAGGAGGCTCGTCAGCAGTGTTATGATGTACTGAAGAAGATGACTTTGACTGAGTTGGAGAGTCTGGAGGGTTTTTCCGAATTAGATAGACAAAGCATGCAGGTGTTAGTTCTACCAAGGGTCAAGCGACTTCAAGAATGCATGAAACGAATTCTTCCCGAGTTTTTAGGCTCATTGGATGCATTGGTGTATTTATGGTGCCACGATGAAAACAAGTACAAAATGCACGGTGCTCCAAGCACGTGTCCAAAACATCGCATATATTCATCCGGGTCATCTCGCAACATTAATCCTAACCTATATAAACTATATGAAAGAATAAAATGCAACACTTGCAAGGGAATGTTCAGCCAAATGGCAATGAACGCAAAAGGCTATATATCTCCATCTAAAACGTATCTTAGTGAAAACATCGTGAGTATTCTGGAAGAAATCGTGGATCTCACCAAATAACGTTATTAATTAAGCACGTACACGTTAAGAGATCTTAGGCCTAGGGCAAACATCAAATTTTTCATGCACCGAACTCATTAAAAACAATGGATATCAGGTGATAATGAGGCGGCATTCTTTGATGTAATTAAGTTCGGTGCATGGAAAGTTCGACGTTTGCCCTAGGCCTAAGAGGCATAATAGATACGACCGCTATTGCTGCTGCAGTCTACATAATTAATACGTGTATTTTCTTTTTTTAAAGCTGTTATTATTACTTCTGTAGTCAATTTACAACGTAGTCGTTTTTATTAGTTGCAAAATCAATGCAAGATAGGGGCGGATCTAGGAATCTTAGATTTTTAGAAAACATGGCTGCCACTAATATGCAAAAATTTAAAACTGTTTTTTGACTTTTTAAATCTTAATGAGGGTAACATTAAAGCAATTAAAACCAAAATTTTTTCACATCCTTACTTTAAAATGTCTCGTATTACGAGCCTTTCTTTTTCAAACTTTGGTTGAATTTGCTTTTTTCTTGTTCCGTTAGTCACGTTGTGCGATGAAACTAAATCTAACAATTTTTAAAACATCAAATGTTCGCGATGCAAGATTTCAGTTCAACCCAAGATATTTTAGCACTAATGCAATTCATTAGAAGAGTTAAGAAGAAGGCTTTAACTTTATCTCAGAATATTTCAGTGAGAGATCGCTTCTAAAGTCAGACCATGCGATTCCTTGGTTGTCATTAACCCGACCAAGATATTTACCATTGAGATTTGATTCGTGGCATGAATTATACCACCACGCACCCTTCCACTGGTGAGCACAATTACCATTAACATGGTCTAGATCGTTTTCATTATCTTTGGTAGTGAAAGCCATACTATTATGGTAACTTAAGGAGTCACCGGCCGTACCAGAATACGAGGTGACACTCAACCTGTACTTTGAACCTTCAGAACCAACACTAAAACTACCATATTTGGCATATACTTTCACTCCGTCCCAGTCTTCCAGTTCGACGYGTAACATCGACGCTGTTCGTGACGTCAGTCGGTGAATCTTGTCATTACCCAGCCAAAACTCGCCATGCAGGTTTCCAAAACCTGTTTTGTATTYATCCCAGGTACGATAAAAGTCTACTGATCCATCTTGTCTTCTCTGGAACACAGTCCACCCCCCTCCGTCTGTTGTCATGTCACAGTAGACTTGGAAAGGACCAGTACTGTCAGGATAAATTGTGTAGACACCATTCTGTCTTACTCCTGATTTATAGATCTCTGAACAATCTGCAGCTAAAATATAAATGACCAAAATTGTTAGTGTTGATGAAAAATTATTTACCAGCTTACCAAGTTGAACCGGTTACAAATCGGCATTCTTTGTACTTGTCGTTCGGCTTTGGAAAAGGTCAAAAATCCATCCAATTTAAACGCAAGATTCATAAGATTTACCAGGTAACGAACAAATCACGCGATACCTTTTTGGTTCAAATTACATTTTTATTAATCTGATGAGTCCAAAGGTGTTCCATACTTACCTCTTATCACAGTGACTTGTGTAGCAGCTTCTACACTACTCACACCAGCACTTGTAGCATTACAGATATACACCCCAGAATCTTCTATCTCTGCACGTCTGATGGTCAGCGTTCCTCCTCTCACCTCTGACCTCCTTCCTGGTGGTAGAGTAGCGTTTAGCTTTCTCCATGATATCCTTGGTGCTGGATCACTTCTCGCTGTGCAATTCAACGAGAATGATTCGCCAACAGTAGTACGGAAAGACGTCGGTGGCTTTTTTACAAAAGTAGGAAGTTTCACTATGATTAATTGTACTGTCCTAGATGTTGAGCCGAGAACATTTTCAGCTTGACAAATGTATGTGTCCGAGTCATTTCTCCTTACTTTCAACAATGACAACTTTCCACCATTAGTTATTGTTCGAGCTTTCGGCAATGGTTTTGAAGCCCTTGACCATGAGATGTTAGGACTAGGGAAACCAGTCACCAGACATTCTGGTAGAGTGACGTTGTTTCCTTCCTTTTCAAAAATCTGGTCACCGTGGATCAAAATTCCTGGACGAACTGAAAGGTGAGCGATATATAGTAAATAAACTTTAAATCTTTTTTTTTTTTCTTTTTTTTTTTGTAGGACTGAATGGGAGTAGACTATGAAGAGGCTGTTGGGGAAAGGGGACGGGAGCGGAGAAGGATATAAAAAGGGGAGCTCTCGCTTTATGGGGTCCCTCCCGAGAGCCTGCTCACAGGTCAAAATGCTAGAAACTTTTGGATATGAACCGCGGCTAAATAAAGGCTGCCTAACTTAAGTAAACATCGACCATTTAACTGTTAAATAGGAAGAGCCTGGAACAACGTTCTTTCACTACCGTTAATAATGAAAGTTTACCATTCCATACGAATATAAAATCGTGTAGTCCCAGTATAGGAAGTGAAACATGCAATCAATTGGGACGAAAGTTCTGTTTTCTTCGCCAGTCACAAAATTTGTATGTTTCAAGTTTTATAAAATGTATATGTTTATATTGTGACAAATAAACTAAACTAAACTACACTACACTACACTTACATTGTACAGTGATGCGTACAGTCTGTTGTGCCGTGCCAAGTAGGTTTCTAGCATGACATTTGTACGATCCCGTGTCACTGGGAGTCACGTTAGGAATCACTAGCTTATCATCACCAGTCAGCTGGGAACTGGTACCTACTTTATTCCAACCAATCACGGGCTTGGGATTACCACTGGCCCAGCATTTTAAGATTGCCGTCTGACCTTCGTTAACAACCAATGAGGAAGGAAAAATGATAACGTCAGGTGACGTTATTGATCGACCTGGGTCCCCTTTAGATCCCCGCATGCCTCGCGGCCCTTGAACTCCTCTGTTGCCTTTCTCTCCCTTTGGACCAAGTGGACCCATAATGCCTTGCTTTCCAAAGCGACCTGGCATTCCCATATCTCCTTTCGGTCCTCTCTTTCCTCTACGACCCCGATGACCAGGCCTTCCAGGTGGACCGGGAGGGCCTGCACGACAATGTTTATCAGTCATCGTAACAGCACAAAAGCGTAATGCAAACCTTTGGATTCTTTCTAGCTCTCTCACTATCTTTGAAGACGAAACGTTTACATTGATGGTTTGATGTCGACGAATTCTACTTGTTTCCTGTCCTTCTTCTATGATCGTTATTTTAAACCAAAAAAAATACGTAAAAAAACATTATAAATAGGAAAGCGAAAGCAGAACGTAGCAAAATATATTGACGATGGAGCAGTGTTTTTAGTAACATATACAGTTTGAGTGGTCGTGTTGTATCCGAATATCGGATACAACACGGAAACGAATACTGTAGATTACTTATCAAACGTCTAGGTTAGTTCCTTTGTGTTTCACTAAAATTTTCAAGATAAAAGTGAATCTGGCCAAGAAAATCCATCTTAAAGTTTATACAAATGAACAGGATTCTGTATCTGATTTACAAAACTCTTCACGGTCGTGATTTCTGTTGTGTTTTCCTCATGAATTATTAATGCATTTGATAATATGCGTTGGAAACGATACGGCAAATAAGTTGGTAGCTGTTCTGTAGTCGTACCGTATGTTACCGTAACAGTAACTACGCGTTGTGATTGGGTGGATTAGTAGACGACAACGAGAAGCCATTTCATCTACGTGATGTAAATCAGTACGGTATGTTTTAAAACAGCTTTACTTTATAAAGTAAGATAAGGTAAGATTTAAAAGGTTWAATTAAGTAATATAATATCTCTAGCTAAAAAGTTGAGAAACTTCATCAGAATGGCACAATTATATACACGAGAGTCGCTTAGGCATTAGATACGCTTTACCATCGATGAGGGAAAGCCATCACTAAGTGATCAATCGTATTTATTGGAAGTATGAACGAATGCAGTCTCACCATTTTGAGCGTTGCTTGTCGTGCTCTCGACGTGTTGTCGTCTCTTGGTCTGCACTGTAGATTCAAGTTCTCGTATTCTGCTCACATGGTTCTTCAAGAGTAACTCAACTCTGATAAATTCCCCCAAACACAACAGCACAACAATAAATGATACTATCATGCTTGATGACGGCCATGAGCTACGCTTGGTACCCGCCATCTCAGTTGGACTAGAATCTTGACCTTTGAAAGCAAGTCACACAAAATGAGCTAAATATGCTAAAACGCATCCCCGCAATCGTTCCATGTTTATTATGATTGGATCAGTCAGGTTGATTAACGTAAAGAAAGGAAAGGAAGTTGAGGTCACTCATGTAGATGTGACGTAAGATAAGGTAAGGTTAGATTTAAAAAAAGGCAAGGCAAGGCAAGGCAAGGCAAGGCAAGGCAAGGCAAGGCAAGGCAAGGCAAGGCAAGGCAAGGCAA